ACACACACACACACACACACACACACACACACACGCGCGCGCGCGGGCACAATCTGCCGCCCCAAAGCACCTGCCCCCACCCCCCACCCCACCACCCCACCCCACCACACCCACCCACACCACTTCATCTCAAGCCACCAACCCACCCATCACCACCCCGCCCCTTGGGCCCCTCCCTATTCAGAGAGGGAGCGGGCATGTGCGCATGGGGAAGGGGGGGGGGGAGGGGAGGGGCGGGCGGGTGGTGGTGGACACAAATGCTGAGGGCTCGCGAGACGCGGGCGCGTGGGTGGTGGACTTCGCAAGAATCCTGAGGGCTCGGGGGTGGGTAGGGGGGTACTTTGCAAAATTCGGGGCTCCGCGCTGCTGGTGGCGCATGAGATCTCTGCCAACAGCCTGAGGGCTCGCGGGACGCGGAGCGGTGGGCGGAGGGGGGACTTCGCAAAAATCCTGAGGGCTCGGGGGGTGAGGGGGAGGGGGGGGGGGGGGGGGGGGAGGGGGGGGGTACTTTGCAAAATTTCGGAGCTCCGCGCTGCTGGTGCAATACAGGTGTACAACTGCGGTGCTATTATGGGCGCCAATACCCGCGACACGCGGTGGTTCCACCCGACTGAATCGACGAATGGCCTGGATTCGCTGGCGCTCGCCGCTCTCTTAAATTGTTTGATTTTACTTGTAGCGCCAAGTGCAAACAAACACACTTGCAAAACCGTCGTCTGAAATTTCACTTGCGTTTGTACTTGCATTGGTGACTTCTGGACTTAAACTTGGCATTTGCAATTGACAGTTTGCCCCCTCCCATTGCCTTTCGCGCGACATGGTCGCGCGCGTGCGCGGTGGGAAGACGGGCGGCGCGGGCAGATGAATGCAATGCGAGGGGGGAAACGACGGCGGTGGCGGCAGAGAGATAGACGGATGCTCTTTGGTGGTCACTGCGCGCGTCTGGCCCATGCCCAGGCCCCTACCTCAGACACAGCAGCGTCGCCGAAGTGGATGATGTCGCCAAGCTCTTATCACTGCAGCTCGCCTGAAGCAGGAGCAAAGGAATTCAAAGCTGCGAAAACAAGAATATTCATCTTCTTTCCCGTGCAACGCTGCCGAGGGCCACGGATTATCTGCGCGAAAGGTGAACGCGTGCTCTGAGGACGGAGACACAGCCCGAGAATATTATTCGGGAATAAATTTCGGGCTATACACAGACACACCCTGACTGGTGAAAGTGGGGAGGGAGGGAAGCGAAGCAGGGAGCTTCAGCCAGGATGGGAACGGACGGCCCTCTCCAGCTCTGAACGTCACAAAGATGTGCATCTAAAGATCGGGCTATCTTCTTTCCCGTGCAACGCTGCCGAGGGCCACGGATTATCGGCGTGAAAGGTGAGCGCGCGCTCTGAGGACGGAGACACAGCCCGAGAATATTATTCGGGAATAAATTTCGGGCTACACACACACACCCATAACCAGGAAGTAGACCACATTAGCTATCATGGCCGACTTGCTCGGCCGACTGCATTACTCAAGATAAGAACGGAAATCGCGAGAGTGCTGGGCGAGGAGGGCAACGGAGAACCTCTGCACTACACGTCTGCACAATTGACGAGGGCACGCTTCGGCGATCTTGGTGTAGAATACACCGTGGGGATCTTTGCTCTCGAGCTGCACGTGGGGAATATTGGACCGCGTACACACTCCCCGGCCACAACAATGTTTCACCGCGGGGCCGAGGTCGACACTCACAGCTCTGAAGCGGGTGCGCTTTCTCCAGGCGGTCCCGCCCATGCAAAAATCGGCACAACAATCAAGACGAGGAGGGAGAGACGACGACGAGGACGGGGAAGGCAGGGACAGGGCGGGGTGACTCCACACCCAGCTCTGGCCAGGATTCTCGATCACGAGCGGAACCCCAGACCTGCGTGCCAACTTCAAAAGCCCACCACAAAACGAGGCGTGAGCGTTTCCCGTTCTGACGGTTTTCTCGCCCCAGGGCTTGAGCCCTGGCACTCGCAAGGGAAAAGATGCATTCCGAAGGGTCGCTGGCCCGTTGGGCCTGTTACGAGCAGCACTGAAACTATTGCACGGGAGTCGGATCCAGACGGCCCGCAAGGTTCCTTCCAGGAGCCTCGAGCGCAGAAACCTCTGGAAGCTCCGACGAGAAAGGTCATGCTCTGGACCGAACTTGAAATCGAATTCAAAGATCGGGATGCCGCGAAGCCTGGGATGCTGCCTCCAGGCCGCACTCAGTAGGCCAGAACCCGAGACAAGCTCAACAGCGAACCCCCTCGGGAATGCTGAAGCCCTCCAGCGCCGACTCAGCTCCGCAGGAGCCACACGGAAATGTTCTGCACGGCGCTGTCGGCGGCGCGGCGCACCGCCTCGGGCAGCCAGCCCCTGGAGTAGCTGATTTACTCGCCCTCCTTTCTTGTGCCTGACTACGGATCGCTCCGTCATCCACCGACATCGACCCTGAATGTCGCGGAGCCCCCGCGCGCCCGTCATGGCGTCGTGGGAGGCCCCCCCGTGCCTCAGCATGTAGAGCACCGGCAGCGAATCCCCGACCAGGCCGACGGCGGTTGAGGCCGCCTCGAAGCCCTTCGCCCACTCGCGGTAGCTGAAGGGGAAGACGAGCTGCTCGCCGCCGCTGCCGCGCAGCCGGGCGAGGAGCCTCTCCAAGAACGCGAACTCCTCCACGTTGTCGACGAGCACCGTCTCGTCGCGGGCGCCCGTCTTCGAGGTGATGGCGAGCTCCTGGGGGTGGAGGATCACGCTCCACCTGCGTCCTCGCTGGCGGGACTGTCGCGGAGGCGGCGCCAGGTCGCACTCCCGTAGGCGGAGCAGCTCGCATGGCCTCAAGTAGTGGATGAAGGCGAAGAGGACGGCGGCGGCCATGTGCCAACTCCCGCCCTTCGCCAGCCGCCGCGCCACCAGGCAGGCCGCGGCCCACGGTAGCGGCAGCCTGGCCTGCGGCGGGTCGAGGCGGGAGAAGCCCCGGCGGGCCAGCTGCACTCGCGAGAGGCTCGAGCAGCCCGGCCCTGCCTCGGGGCGGAAGTACGCCGCCGCTGCCACCATCTTGGAGGCGGTGTTGGACCTCCAGCCGTCGTAGAACATCTGATTCAGCATCTCCACCAAGGTCGCCTCTAGATCCTTCAGGCGGCTCGTCCTGAGCCGTTGCTGCTTCGCCCAAGTCAGGAACCTGTCGCACTGGTCCCGGTCCTCGCTCTCCTGCCACGCGGACACGGACCGACGCTCCAGCACGGTCCGCTGGCCTGGGGCGCCTCTCGCCCGTGGCGCTGGCGGGTGGGCTGCCCGGCGGGCCGCTCCGCGCGCCGCTCGCCCGAGCCCGACCTCGCGGACCGCGCGAGCCTGGCGGGGCGGGCGCGGGCGCCGCGCCCCTGCGACTGGGAACGCGCCCGTGGAAGCGTAGGTCCCCGGCGAGCTCGTCGCGGCCGTCGTCGACGCCGTGCCCGCGGACGAGGTCCTCGACCGCAGGGCGGGGCGGCTCGGCGAGGGGGAAGCGTCAACGATCCGTCGGGCCCCCGCCCCGCGCGCCGGCATGCACGCCTCGGCGAGGCGGCGGCGCAGGCGCGGCCCTCGGGCTCCAGCCTCCAGCGCAGGTGCTCCGGCGTTTGCGCGAGGCCGCGTCGGCCGCGTTCCACTCAGAGGGCAGCCATCGCCACGCGGGGCGCAGGTTGGCGGCCAGCACAAGGGCGGCAGACCGCCGAAGGGCGCGGCAGAGCCCGAAAGAAGCGCCTCGGCCCTTGGTCCGCGAAAGGATCACGGTCATGGCATCTCCGAGGATGAGGTGACGCTTGCTGTGAGACGAGGAAGTCCTGGCCAGGTGGTTGAGAGTCCAGGTCGCCGATCGAGATTCGAGGTGAACTTGGTGATCTCCAGAGGCCCATCGGAAGGAAGCGACTCGGCACCAGTCTCCCCCCCAGACGTGCTCCGGAACAGGAGGTGCCCGATCGAAACCACCACCTTCGCCCCGATGAGGATCGCCCCGAGGATCGTGACATTGCTCTTGCTCTCCCGACTTCGAGAATCGACATCTATCGCTATACGAGCCGATGATTTGCACGTCCCTCGTGTCGATCGTCTTACCAATCACCCCGCACCCCCACTCCGACGCATCGAAGACGTGAACTTTTGAACGCCAGGGGGCGTCCAGCTCTCGAGCAGCGACGAAGACGAGCGAGGCCATCCAGCGAAGCTCCCGATACACTGAGGGCCAGAGCTGGCCTCGCCCAGACTTGAATTGCTGAGCGAAGGCGAAGCAAGCCTGGGGTGCCGAGAACACCTCGCGGCGGATCAGCCCCTGCGTGGTGAAGTGGCCAAGCAGCGCTGACATCTCGCGCCCGCTCGCCCGGCCCAGCTTCACGACGTGCAAGAGCGCCAGCCGAAGCCGCCACGCCGTGCGCAGCGACATCGAGCAGCGGCCGCCCTCGGTGAAGTGCCAGCCGAGGGCATCGCCGCCGACGCTCACCTCGGCCTCGTGCATTGGGAGCCCCGCGGCGACCAGGCGCCCACGCACCCGCGCGACGACGTCCCTCACGACTGCGGGGTCCCTCCCGAAGCACGCGAAGTTGTCCACGTACTCCGTGTGGACGATCGGCTCGAGCCCAGGAGGCGGTCGCCCATCCGCCAGCGCGTTGTGCTCGCCCACGTCGGGCTCGCGACGCGCCAGCAGCTCGTGCAAGGACTGGCAGGCCTGCAGCGCCAGCACCCAGCCCATGGGCAGCACCGCGATCACCGGGAAGACGCGGTCGCCCGGCTTCACGGCCTCCCCGCCCGCGTGCGTCACCCCGAGCTCCCACGCCTTGATGGGCTCGAAGCCGAAAAGGTCCCGCAGCTCCTCGGGCATCGCGATGGCGTAGAAGGCCACCTTGATGTCGGCGCCGCCCAGCACCAGCGGGGGTCCCGCGTCCAACTGGAGGTTGGCGAAGCACGCCCCGCTCGCCAGCTGCACAGGGTCGGGTTCCTCGAAGAAGCAGTTCGGGATCCTGGCATCAATCACCAGCCGCTGGGCGCCCGACTTCTTCCACACGCTGAAGCATCCTACCCGACGACGAACACTGAACCTGAAGACGAGCAGGTTCGCGGCGCGCAGCCGCTTCAACAACTCAATGTACAGTTTGCGACTGCGCAGGGCGGGGCCAGAGCATGCCCGACGCAAGCCGAGTTGCTTCAGTCTCGCCTCCCCCTTCCACACCGGGAAGCACCTTATCTAGAAGCCTCTTCTCGATCAACTCGCCTGCAGGGCCCGCCGCCTCGCTGTGCGTCACAGGGTGAAAACCAGGAGGAGGCAGGTCAAGTAGGTCCACACGAAGAGGGCCCAGCCTGGACGACGAGCCGTCGTAGGCCAGCTTGGACCGGAGCTCGTCGAAGGCTCCTGGTCCGTCGAGGTCCTCGGGAGGCGGCCCCAGGTCCACCACGCGTTGCCGCAGGTGATCCAGGGCGAGTCTTTGCGCCAACGTCGGTCTCGAAGCCCGGCGGGGAGACCCGCCGCGGGGGGCCCTGTATATGTCGTTCAGGGCGTCAACGAGCTCGTCAGTGGCCGTGTCTATCGCCGCCTGACGCAGCGCCCGCCTCGCTGTCGTGCGGCATGCACGGGGGGGGGCCAGCGCTCGAGGAGCAGCCTCCGAAAGTCGAGGTAATGGAAAAAAAGGTCACGCTGTCTGTGATGCACACGTCCAGGTGACTGCTCGAATTCGTGGGCCCTGTAGTTCCCGCCAGACCCGGGCCCGAAGTCCGGCGGGTGCTTCTCATGCGCCATCTCCTCGCAAGGCACGGCGTTCCTCCCGTGCCTTGCGAACTTGTTTGAGCACGCTCGCGTCGCGCCCCACCTCTCTCGCCACGAAGTCCAGCAAGCCGGGCGACACCATCGTCTCCCCCGCCTCGCGGTGCCGCCCCATGAAGACGTCGCTCTCGTCGAGCAGGCCCGCGCGGGGGCGGCCCTTGCCCTTCTGGTCCTTCTTGCCGTTCTTGTCGCCCGACTCGGCCACGGGCCCTCCGATGGGCTCGCGGGAGTAGGCGTACTCCACGAGCTGGCACTCCCGAGCGGTCACCTCCAGGCTCGCAGGGTTGGCCAGCTCCAGGTTGTCGTAGCTCGCGGCCGTCTCCAGCGCGCGCGAACCGTTCTCGTGGATGTCAACGCCCCAGTCCCCGCGCTGGAGCCGATTGACCTGACGCCACCAAGCATGATGATCGCCAGGCCCACCCCCTCGTCGGTCAAGGAACCTCATCACCCACTCCACAGTCAGCGGCCCCCAGATAGGCCAGTCGGCGAAGGGCGTCACCGAGGGCCGCTCCACCGCGTGCCGCCAGGTCAGCCTCTGCCGCCTGTCGCCCAGCAGCTCCACCGGCAGCACGCGCGCGTCGTCGTTGAACTCCACCCGCAGGTACCTCGACACTTCGCCGTACTTCATGCGCCGCACCAGCACAGCTGCCGGCCCGCGAGGACCAGGGGCCGCTCTGATACAGGCCAGCGCCCCCCAGGCTCGGCATCCCCGCTCCTGGGAAGACCACCGACCCGCGTTTCAGCCCGTGCTGCGTCTCCGTGACCACCCGCGCGGGCTCGTCGTCGGAAGGGAGTGGCGCGGCGGGGCCGGCCGCAGCGGCGCCTCCCGCCGCAAGTCCAGCACCAGCGCCGACACCCGCTGCAGCGGCCGCCCGCAGCGGACCTCCGCCCCCGACTGGGAGCGGCCCGCCGTCTCCCTCGCCTGGGAAGCGGGGCGGCGGGATCGGCGCCCGCGCCACATCGGCGGCCAGCGGCAGCAGCGCGCCTCCAGCGGGCTCCACGCCTGGCCCACCATGACGACGATCTCTGGCCACGAACTCGTCCCGAGCCGCTATCCTCGCCAGCCGTTGGAACTCCATGCTCTCCGCTGGGGTGATCTCCCCCCTGAACCGATACGAATCCCGCGGCACACCTGGAGGAGGATGCCGGCGTACATCACTCCAGCGCACGGCCGCGATGTTGTGGTCTATGCCTCCATACGTCTCGCAGTACACGTCACCATCGGGCGGGCGTGGTGGCCACAACTTCAATCGCTGCCGCTGGAGTACCCGCCAAGACTCCCCCCACGTGTCGCTGGTGGAAGAGGGGCGCTCCTGCGCACTGTGCCCACGCCCGCTCCTGGACCACCTGCGCCATCGCGAAGAGCCTGAGGAGCAGGCCGAGTTTGCTCCAGCAGCCCCCTCCAGCAAGCCCGAGCGCAGACGCCCGCGACCACCAGCACGGCGTAGCAGAACACCCCCAGGCTGCCTCCCAGCAGCTCCACGGCGGCGCCGGTGAGCCACCCCGCCACGCTCCCCGCCGCTGCCGAGCCCTCCAGCGCGGAGGCTAGCGGGGCGCGCCGAGGCGCGGCCTGAGGAGGGCCCCCCTCCGGCGAGCTCGCGTTGCCAGCGGCCCGCGGCGGCGCCCCCCGCTCGTCCGAGCAGCAGGCGGGGCAGTGCACCTCCGGCGCCGCCGGGCACTGCAGAGCCGGGCGCGCCGGCGGCTCGGGGCACCGCAGCCCCGGGCAAGGAAGGACCTCCGCGCAGTAGAGGTCGGGGCAGCGCTGAACTGCTTCCTCCTCGCGCCGCCAGGCCCTCTCGAGGCTGCCGCGCGAGCGCCGCGCTGCCAGCCAGGCTATTGCGGTCGATGCTGCAAAGCTCGGGCGCATGGTCAGCTTAAGCCAGGATGGGAACGGGCGGCCCTCTCCAGCTCTGAACGTCACGAAGATATGCATCTAAAGATCGGGTTAGGATATGGGCGAGATGGCAATAATCCAAAAGAGAAAGGAGGGGGAGGATGACGACTACCTGCAACGAGGACGGCGACCCCTCCCCCCGCGGCTACGCGCGGCGGCCGCCCTTGGCGCACTGCCCCCCTCAGAGCACGAATGGCTGCGGAACGCTGATCGCTATCGAAGCCGCCGCCCGCCGCCACCTGAGGATCGAGGATGCGAGAGAAAGGGCTAAGCGGGAAGCCCCCGACCACCAGGGCGGCATTGGGACCCAAAATAGCGATCGTAGCAGATACAACTCAATATGAAACATGCACCACGTGCGAAGTGTAAAGCACACGCCCCTTCCTCTAGGACCTGATGATGATGATGGCGCCGATATAACACTTATGATGGTGGTGATGGTGATGATGACAATGACGATGATGATGATGGTACCGATATAACACTTACGATGGTGATGGTTGTGATGATCATGGGGGTGGTGATGACGGTGATTGCAATGATGCTGGCAATGGCGATGGTAGTAGTGGCTCTGTCATCGATTGTGAGGCTGAGTTCGGTAGCGGAGCGAGCCAGTTGGCCTCGCCCATCGCTGCGAGGCGCTCCCCCACAACAGTGGCTGGCGGAGTGGCGGCCAGCCTGTGGAGATATCAGCGGCGGATGGGGAGGCGACAGCCTTTGGATTTTTCTTGTGCAGCAGTCATGTTTCTGGGCACTGTCACACGCTGACAAAAGCGAGACATCGCCAACAATGACGACTATCGTAGGGCTCGCAATGCCCAGTTGTACGATGTAAGAGCACAGCCGCACGAATCTACATAAGCGTATTATCTAACGGAGCTGGCTGTCATTCGTCTGAGGACCGAATCCCTCGGCATCATCCGCGGGGAGATACGCCAAGGTATCCTGATGGCCCTCTGAAACCAAGCCGCTAGACGACGAGGCCCTGAGCTCTCTCAAAGCCGAAGCGAGATCGCGGACGCCAGCCGCGGTCCTGGAGTGATCGATAGTGGCGCCAAAATTTTGTCCCTGAACCAACGTTGCATCTGCGAGTCCCATGGCCTGCCCCTTGCGCTCGTCCTCTGGCGGAGGCGCTGGTGCCTCGGCCTGGGCCTTGCCCCAGTTAAGCTCCTCCGCATCACTGAAGGGCGGCTGCGACTGCATCCCTGCTGGCTCCGCCAGCGTCGGCGTAGGGATAGAGCTACCCCATGCCGTCTGACGCGGCGGTGCTGGAAGTGGCTGAAATGAAAACGGATTGCCACTGGGCTCTTTCCCTTTGCCACCCAGCTCTGGCGGGGAGTCGCGCAAGCAGACGACCCCAACATCCAAGTTATCGTCGCAACGTTGCTTCTTCGGAACTGGAGGCTCGCCCGCCAAGATTGAATAAAGCTCACGTGGGTTCCCCGATAGATCGCTTTGCTTCTTAGTACCAGTGATGCATAACATGAATGGAATCATGGGGATCCTTTCTTTCTTGAAACCTTCTGGGGGCCCGTCTAAACGTATGTTTACCTCCGGGCAGTTGGCCATGCCGACGCCCTCCTCATCAGGACCTTTAGGTTCTGGCCGCTGCTCCATCGCACGGATCGCGAGCGAAGAATGGTTACGTTATTGCCGAGTCTCAGTGCACGTTGCTGGAAACCGAAACCTCGAGCCAAAACCAACAGGGACAACACTTGGCTGTGCAGGTCACAAGCTGTCAAGTTACTGGCAAGACATCTCGAGTTTCTGATTGCTCGCGTTAATGGGGAGTGGCCGCCAAACCTGAAAAGGCGCGCGCTACTGGCAATCGCCCCGGCCGAAAAACTCGGCAAGGCGCAGCTGATAACAACATCTCGGCGCCCCCAGGTGGCTGATGCATTGTGTTGCTACGGCGGGGTAGGCAGGTTCCAACAGGGCCTCCCAGGAGCAGGGGGGAACACATGCCGACGGGGCCCCAATACCCCTGAGCGGAGCCTCATAGGAGCTCAATTGGGGGCCTCTTGTGGCCTTCATATACATGGATATATGTGTATGTGTGCTGATTGCGGATGGGGTTTGATTCGGGTCACACACACAAGCGCACACACACAGACGCTCACACAAACACACACTAACACGCAGCAGCACGCACATCTACTAGACCGTTGTGCGTTCATCACGTTTTCTTGTGTGTGTGTTAACTTTAGCGGCTAGATACGGGTCCTCTTATAGCTTGCTGCCTCTGAGATGCGCGGGCGGTTCGGGCCCATAAAGGAAGCATCGGGGTCACACGGTGGCCATTGGGCCCATAGATGCCGCGAGGGGTCGCTGGGGGACCGTCGGGGGACTACCTGGTGGAGCTCCTTATCCGTGCACGCCCTCCCCCCATGCCCCCCCGTCATCCCGCTTCCCATTCCCCTCCCTCCTTCCCCTCCCTCCTCCTACCCAGCGTCGCTCCCCATTGCATTTTTTCTCTGCAACGCAACGTCCAATCGACAATCGCACCTGGTGTGAGACTTAAGCAAGTGATTTGTGAAACACACGGATCATGGAGCGACAATTGGTTCGATACTTTCGAACGGACGTGGCGGCCTCTCTTCCCCTAGCAGCTGCTCCAACGCAGCAGAGCCACCAGACATCTCAACGAGGCGGTTGCGAGCATCAAGGCGGGCAGCGTAGTCTACAACCACTTCGTGCTTATGTTTGTGGCTATCCGTCACATCGGGTGTTTGGTCTGCTAGAAGCCATGCGTAAAGCAGGCCCAAGGGTCGGCCCTGGGCATGCCGTGAGTGGCTCGTCTCGCTCGATCGGCTCTTCTGGCAGCGATGGTGCAAACTGCCTTGGCACCTGCAATACGCGTAGAAGTCACTGCTCTTACGATACCAACACAAGCGCCCAACTCCTGGGAACTCCCAGGCGATCTCTGCGGGCACGGGGTCTCTGGGGCCAGCAGCTGCAAGCGGTGGATCGGGGGCAGCGGCAGGGGCGGGCGCCAGCGGGGGCGTCGCGGTGCCCCCAATGATGTCATCGACAGCAGGTGGTGCTGGAGAGGACGGCCCTGGGCCGTGAACCTCTGGCGACTCTGGCAGCGGAGCAGGAAGGGTGCCATCGCCGCCGTCAGCACGAACGACAAGATCCATAGCCATGTCTGTATCGTAATCTGGAATGTCCAGCGCCTGAGGGCCAAAGTCTGCGCCGCTGTCCGCACCAAGGAAATCATGGGCACCGTCCATCGACTCGTCGCTCGAGGGAATTTCGGCCGTGTCGCGCAGCGGAAAGATTTCGACGCCGTCCTTGGGCTGGTCAGGGCCAGGGCCGTCTGCTGAATCGGCATCGCCGGCTTTATCTGCATCGGCCAACACGTTCGCCCATGGATTCGGCCGTTCTTTTTCGGCCCGCTTCCCAGCTTTTCCCCAAGGATCCCAAATGACATGCGCTGGTACTCCTCCGCCAAGGCCAGCCAACAAAGAACACTGAACACCAGCAGGACGTAGCCGAGGCAACAGGGCGCCCGAAAAATCGACTGCCTAGAAGCATACAAGCCACCGCATCCTCTTATCGAGCGACCTTGCCATCTGCACGTCGCCGACATGATCTCGCACCGCCTCGACTCGCACACGTTCAGGCACGATGTTCAACGTGAAGACGGCGTCGACGAGGTGGTCCGCCCACGTGCATTTCAGGCTCATGAGGCCGCACCTCCACTTGGCCATGTCAACGTCCCCCATGTGGTACCAATTCGCATAAGACGTTCCAAAGTCGGCGTCGTCGGCGTCGCTGTCGGCGTCGCGGCGACGCTGTCCAATGAGCAAGATGGAGATCTCTGTGCACTTCATCGCAGTCCTATGCACACTCCCAGGCCGAAAGCATTTTTGAACAACTGCCCAACAGTTATCTCGCAAACGTCTTGCAAGCTTGCCATGCGCACTGCAAACGCACGCGCCTAGTTCCCAACAAGGACGACGACCATCTTCTCTGTCTGGCAAGTCAACGTCATCTTCGTGCTGGACAGCCGCGTGCCAGCGTGCCCATACTGCCCGAAGCGCTTGCAGAAGCGTTTGCATATGAAGGCTTTTGCGGCCAATTGACAAAGACCTTGCTACTCGCCGTGACAAGTCCATCGGCTGCCAAGTCGCCTGCGCGAGCTCTGGCCCAGAAGGGTCACGCGGCTGTGGAAGTGGCGCGAACTCTGGCTCGCGCGCCGCAAAAAGCGGCCCCAACCTGCTGCGCGCGCGACGAAAGGAACCACTCGAAGAAAACTCGTTATCGATAAAGGCAGCCAACGCCTTCTCGCCATCATCCTCCGATCTGCGCCGTGCTGCCGCGCGCGCCCTCACAACTCTGCGACTTGCATTCGGCCCGGCCCTTGGGCCAAGCAATCGCGAAATCGAATCGCCGCCGTGCTCGCCACCCAACGCTTCGGCGCCTCGGCGAGCAAGAACAGCAACCTCCTCAGCGCGTAGTCGGCTCAATTTCAACATCAATTACGACCGCCCAGGACTCCGGACTGCAATCTCAAAAACCTCCATCCCTCATTCCCTTCGCCCTCCTCTCTATTCCTCTGCCCCCCCCTCCTCCCCCCGCGCTCATGCAACTTCCACGCTCCTCCTCCTCCTCCCCCGAGCCCCCCCTCACCATCCACTTCCTCTGTCTTGCTCTCCCCATCCAAACCTCCAGGCCCGCCCTCTCTACGCCGTGCGTCCTTCGCCTCATCCTCCTCCTCGTCCTCGCCCGTTTCGTCTTTCCCCGCCGTGGTCGCCCGCTGTCGGCGTCGCCGTCGTCCGCGTCGCGGGGCCGTCTAGGGCCTAAGATCTTGGGAGCCTCGTGGGAGATCTGGGGCCCCTCTTGGGCCAGCTTGGGGCCCTCGCGGGAGCTGAATAGGCAATGTTGGAGCTATATTGGAAGCCTCTTGGGCCGTCTTGGACAATCGATGCCCCCGCAAGCGAGACCTTTCAAACCCATCAAGCGCGTGAGGAAAACATTCCTAGTGGGCCTCTCGGGGCCATCTTGGGATACCCTTGGGACAATGGGGTGATTGGCGGCGGTAACCATAGGCTCTGATGATGTTTAGGCGTGGGAACGCGACCATTCAAAACAAACTGCTCGGTTAGCCGCTTTGGCTTTTCTCTCAAACCCTGTTTGGCCGCTGCACTCAAGCCACGGTACCTCGCACCAAGCACCCCGATGTTGCAAGCTCTGCCAGGCCCCGAGCCCTCATCTTGCACGAACTGTCGCCGAATGCCTTTGGCGCGGGGCGGTCTCTCATCTGAAAGTTTTCGTTTGTTGCGCAAGACTGGCGGAGTGCGCTCTTCCATCACGGCAAATCGTTTCCCTTTCTGCGCAAACCGATACTCAGGTACTTTCATGTTTGAATTGACCCATCTCGCCGAAACGTGATCCACCCTGGCTATCTTTGCATGGTACAATAACTTCCCAATAAGGCGTCGGACTGAGGCGCGGCCAACTTCAATACTCACGGAGTCAACTTCGGCGCCCAAAGCAGCGTTAACCAAATCTGCGATCACAATGGGCGACCTGGCATCCAATCGCAAGGCCACGCGGCGATGATCCAAGAATGCTTTCGACCAAGGGTCCAAGCGGCATTCAGGCTTGTTGCAGATCTCATCAGCAATGTCTCCAGACTCAATGGGCAAGAGCAGCTTGGAAGGGTAATTATCATGCCGCCGCTGCAAAGTATGTGCTGATATCGACGCTTTCGCCAGCATTGTGAACAACCTGGCATTCGTTGCAGAACTCCTATAAGCCAACGGCATGCACTTCCACCTAGGGTTCGAACCAACCATGCGCAACACTCAAGAGAAGAAAGACACGTCAGACAAACCATTGCCAGACAAAAAAACTCTGCGCGCCAACTTCAACGCCCCTCCCGAACCGCTGGAAGAATCCATCAAACGGTTTTGACGCCCATGCCCTGGGTAAAACCAATGACAATTTTCTCTTGAGGGTGGTGCGCACTAGTTGCCGAACGCCCACCGATCGCTGACACCAAAGAGCCCCCAGATCTTGTCCATGCCCGGCGTAGTACTCCTGCGGAGTGCCTGGCGCAGTATGCGATGCTCGCGGCCTTTCCCTTCTGCTGCCGACCGAAGCTGTGTGCGATCCCAAGTAACGCTGGAAGTTCGGATATAATCAGTCTGCATGTCCTCACATGGTAGCAGCGCGCTCTTCAAACAGATCATCGCTGGCAGCGGGTGGCCGAGAACGAACCAACGAATGGCAACGAACAAGCTCGTTTGTGTAGACCCCTTTTTTTCTTGCGGATCTCGTCCTTGCGCACGTCCTCAGCGGAAAGCCCGAAGTGTTCGATGGCCTGCTCAGGCCCCCCCATCACACTGGGACCTTTTCCGACAATCTCTGCGAAACCATCGCGGCACTTGCTGGCCATCATGCAGACGCTTGACAACGGCGAGCCCCTGCACGCGAGGGCCTGGCGAGCTCGGGCGACACATTGAGCGCCACCTGGCTGCTTCTCGGCGTACTTGAGGAACGCATCCTTGAACAGCGGCGGGTGCGCAGATAAAGCAAGACCAATCCAATCTAGCGCTATGCATGCGCCTAGCCATTTGTGCCGTGGCCACGTCGGCGGCTCGCAACTGAAGACCATCGAACTCATCAAAGCGCACGCCTTCTTCAAGGCAGCCGCACGCCCACTGCAACATCCGTTGCGTACGTGCACGATATCGTGTTGTCCCACCTGGCGTTGAACATCCCCAGCAACATCGAGCGGCGGTACTGCTTAGGCATCTCACGTCCACTGCAGAATGTGTCCAATATAACTTTGTTATGCCGCAAATCATCTTGGTTTGGCACGCCTCGGCGGTAGTGGAATCGCGATGAGAGGACTTCCCGCACGCATGACCGAAATGATTGCATCGTGGCACCCGCTGCGAGGCACAAACTGAGGTTCACGCAACTGCTGACGCTTGGCTCCAAAGGAAAAGCGATTGTTTTACTCATCGTACTGACGGCATGTACCTCGCACTCCGGCCTCAAACTCGCAACGGTGAATCCAAACTTCCGTTCGCATCTCTCGACCGCCCCATCTGCACCCGTGCGCACCAAGCGTTGAACACGGTTGAACCCCGATGATCCATCACCAAACTGTGGGTCCGACGCCTTCACTGCGCCATAGTCAGCTTCTCCAGTCCCACGAGCAACGGCCTGCAACCACAAAGGTATCCGAACGTGAATGCGAACGAAGACGCCGTCCACCTCGGCAAGCGCGGTGCAGCTTCGAGATGTTTGCAATAGTTTGTAGGTTGCCCCTTGTGCTGTGTACATTGTGAACCAACCATTCGCTCCGCATGCGATCTGAACCTCGTCTGTGGCAGTGTCCTCAATTGCTGGGGGGCTGGCTCCAATGTCTCCATGTCTCGAACTGTTGTCTTCAGGGGCGTGCTGTCGTACATGACCACATCGGTAAACGTCAACAGTGTACCTCCCTTCTCGATGATGCTGTCTGCGAAACTATTCAACATGCGATGGGCTTCCCGACGAGGCATGCTGGCCCACGCGCTGGCTGTCGTCTCAATGATGCCTGAAACGTTACGACGGTCATCCGAAAACTGATCAGCCAGAGCGTCTGCGCTGATGACGCGCATGCGCTGCGGAGAAAGAACACCATTCAACAGTTCTTTCTAATGCTCATCTGCTAATGGGATTTTCGAAGGTGGCAATGTATCAACATTAGCAGCGGCCCTCTCCAGAATCACACTTATGCGCTCCTGAACGTTCGCGGCAAACGTGTTCCCATGGGAATCCTCTCGGCGAGCTGGAGGGGCCGCGTCGGGTGAAAGAGCGAGCACTTCATCGCCGTCGTCCTTACCTTGAACAGCATCTGTGATCGCCAACGGCTCGACTGCAACTGGCTGCACTGCGACTGGCTCCACTGGCTGCTCGAACTTGAAGATGCGTTGAAACACCCGTCGCACATCTTTCTTCCGCTGCAAGGGGCCAGAGAAACATTCAGAGTGCAGGCCGTCTCTGGACAGTTCCCATCTCTGAAATGGAGTGAGGCACGAATGTGGTGAAGCTGGGACGTGGGAATCACCGCGGAGCACGCAAACCGTGTCTGGCGGGGCAACAACTGCTGGCCCAGGGGCCTGCTCGTCGACCACCTCTTCTGAATAAGCTATGTCAACACCGCCAGCAGCGTCTAAAACACTCTGCCATGAGTTCGCTGTCTCGGGTACATGTTCAATATCGGCCAAAACTGCCCCCCCAAGGCATGGGGATGAAAGAACCACGTCGCGCGTTTGAGCCCAAATGGATACGGGGGAGGACGAAGCAAAAGGAGGTGACGCAGACGTGTGCACTGAGGGCCCGTGCTACTACACTGTCACATGTAAACTGCACGGGGCCCTCTTTTGGATAATGTTCGGACCCGCACCGCTGGGCGCCCCAGGAGCTCACGAAAGGCGGCGAGAAGTCCAGGAGCTCACGAAAGCGGCGACGGACGGGACGCAGCGTGATTTTACCTACGCCAGAGATCTCACTCGAGAAAATCGTGATGTTCGCGCGCATGACCTGTTAACTGCCCGAGAGATTCCCATGGTGTCCTTACATTTTAAAACTATGTTTTACTATATCTCGGGACTTAGGCTAACGCCCCCCCCCCCTGTAGCCACCTCCCGACATCTCAAGCTTATCGAGGTAATGATTTGCAAAGTCAGCATGAGACTCTCCGGCTGAGGCGTCGGAGCGTACA